ACGATAATCCGACCAGGACCGCATCACAACTAGGAAGCCATGTATTCCTTTCTCGCCTTGGTTAGTCCTCTGTCATGTTCAGCTACTTCTCCATTTTAGCACTTACTAAAGGCAGGCAGCGACATGGATTTTTATTCATATCCAGCTAAATCTAATGGATTCACGCCGAGGAATTCGAGTCCGTTCTCCGCAGTAGCTGCGAGCGTTCTGCAATCGTTCCATGCTAGCTACTGCAATGTCTGATGCTCGCTGGATCGAGTCGCAATACGTACGATACATGCGGATCTGCTGCGCCAAGTTCATGTTTTCCTCTACCAGCCCCTCGTTCTCGACAGGAGTCTATCTCGGAGATGATGCGCTCGATGTCTGTTGCTCGTAGGATCGTTCGTGTCTCATAATGATAGCAGACATAAATACACTGCGCTGGTTGTGGTCCGGCCCATTTTTCTTCCTGGTACCAAAAATAGCCGTAGTGTGGAAGGGTGCTCAAGACGCTGCACACGTTGCGCCCCTGTCTATATCCCAAGGGATGATCCATCCGTCCGTAACTTTTTAAGCGCAACTCTTGGCATGTCGCGCGCGCAACACACACATTTTCTCTTAAGTTTTTAGTTATGTCTAAATATACTTCTATATATTTGGATGTAGATTTTAAAGCTATGGTCGCTCTAGTCCTTTACCACGCATGACGGAGCACACACATACGTCCCTGAGTATCACGCTCTTCCCTCGCATCATCCTCTTCCCCCATATCAGGAAAGACACAGCTACATGCCCGAGCATTACGCTCCCACACCGCACCAGCCAAGAAACACTTACGTCCCAGACCATCATACTCTTCCCACGCATGAGCCAAGAAACCCATCCATCCCAAAACACCACGCCCCTCCCCCACATCCTCCAAACACCACGCCCTCTCCCCTTGCCTCCTCGTCCTCGACATCCACAGGCGGTAATACGGTGCCCGTAGCGCACCACCCACTTCCCCGCCCCGGAGTCTTGACGTCGTTGCATAGGCCGTTGCCGTGTTTGAGCGAGGATGGAAAGGCGGAGATTGCGCTTGCGGCGTGGGCGAGGAGGGAGGGGGGTTGGTTCAACCTGTTGGGAGGGGGGGGGAGGGGGTATTGGCCGGCGTGGGTTTGGGATTGAGGGTGTGGGGGATGAGGGAGAGGGAGAGGGAGGGAGTGGGTGTGAGGGTGAGGGTGGTTGAGGTTGTGTTGGAGGAGGGATGGATGTGCTTGCTTGGTTGGTTGGGTTGGACGGTACTTGATCAGGTTGTTGCGTTGGGTTGCGTTGGATAGAGGAGGTGCATTGAGAGGCGAGCTATGGTACTCGCGCGTGTATACGGAATAGGTCTATCTATTATTCGGTACCTTGGTCGATTACGTTTGGTCGATTCCGTGTTTTGTTCTTTTCTCTGGTACGTCGTTGTGGTTGTGGTTGGATGGGGTAGGATTGGTTTCTGCTAAGAGATAGGGGTTAGGGGGGGTGGGGGAAACGAGAAGGTAGAGATGAGAATGGAGAAAGATAGAGAGAGATAGAACGGTTGTTATTGTTGTTGTTGTGTTGGGCGTGTGAAAGGTGTCAGGTAGGGAGTCGTGTGGTGGTGGTGGGGAGAATATGGGTTGTTAACAGGTGGTGCCTAGGGCTTATATAAGAACCAGACGGACGGACGGACGTAAGGGCATGAGAGAGCATGGGCATGAGGGCATGCGCATGGGGGCATGGGGGTATGAGGGTATGAGGGTATGAGGGTATGAGGGTATGAGGGTATGAGGGTATGAGGGTATGAGGGTATGAGGGTATGAGGGTATGAGGGTATG